ATACGACAATAGGGCGCATTCCATTTTTGAGATAATTAACTTACATACAATGCAGTCAACATTCTTTCGTGTATCTAAACGCTAGCTGAACAAGAATCATTTCAACAACACAGTTATTTGAAAGGGTCTTAGAAATTTAAAGTTACTTACGTAAGTTATAGATAATATTACAATTTGTGTGTTTTTAAGAAAGAACATAAACCGACAATTATTTGGAAAACGCCTGTTAAAAGTTGATCATAGTAAAATTATGCTTTCTTTAAAGTCCTTTTATGTCTCATAAATGCTCTTTCTTTTTATTTCTCAAAACATTTTAATTTTGGTGCAAAAAGTATCCAAAAAGTCTATCATTGGCAAATTACCTAAACAATCTTATTCATCAATTGCTTTTTTGGCAATAAGAAAATTTATAGTGATTGCTATGGACGTCAAAAATACAACTGTTTATATTCTGCTACTTTTATGAAAAATTATTCTCATACGACGCCACTTCCTTCACGTAACAGGCATCTAACATACTCTCAAACAATTATTTTAACATTATAGAATTATTTTTTTCCCATACTCTTAAGAAGTAAGACATAAACGATAATTGGACTGAGAAAAAATCTAAGTCATGCCATAGTACTGTTGTTTGTTCGAGTACCTTTGATTGCATTGTTGTTCTATTTAGACCTTAGGATTTTCTGGACTGATCTATAGATGTTTTATTACAATAGTACGATCTTACACTAAAAGACTAAACAGGACAAATAAGCATGTTTAATCATTTAGATAAAATACAGGTCATTAAGAAACAAGAGCTGTCGGTAGGACAGCACGCTCGACTATTCTAAGTGCTTGATAGTAAAAGAGCCTTGATAACGTAAAATTTAGAGCTTTGATAATGTTAAATTTTCTAAGTTCACAAAAGGGCTAATTTTTTTTTATAAATTCATGTTATAGGCCTTAGAGAGAGTCTAATTATACAGTATTTGCTTGACTATTTAGGTAATGTCACAAGAGTGTTTTATTGAGTATAATAATACTAATTACCTATGAATACATAAATTTGACAAAAAGGTACAAACGCTTGTTTGTAAGATGTTTTATCAAGTAAATCACTGCTTTATTATTATGAATGCATAAAATTGTCCCAAAAAAGGCACAAACCCTTCAGTAGTTATTGAGATAACAGCTTACAAGCAAAACTTTACCATGAATTTCTAAGTTGAAAAAGGGGAGAAAAATCAGTCTAAATGCAAGATAGAATTATGGATCTTTGTCAGTGACCTACAATTATGACCCTAAATGCATATGTGAAGTTTTGAATAAATATCTTTAATAGTTATTGAGATATGTAAAACTTGCATGTAAACATTAACCAAGAGACTAAGTAGAAAAGGGGATATGAATCAGCCTTAATGCAAGATAGAGTTATGGAACTTAGTCAGTGACATACAATTATGACCCTCCGATTATGACCCTAAGTGCATGTTTAAAGGTTCAAGTAAATATCTTTGAAGACCTTTAACCAAAATTTCTAAGTTTCAAAGGGGCAAATAATTCTGCAAATTATGACCCTAAATGCATATGTGAAGTTTTGAATAAATATCTTTAATAGTTATTGAGATATGTAAAACTTGCATGTAAACATTAACCAAGAGACTAAGTAGAAAAGGGGATATGAATCAGCCTTAATGCAAGATAGAGTTATGGAACTTAGTCAGTGACATACAATTATGACCCTCCGATTATGACCCTAAGTGCATGTTTAAAGGTTCAAGTAAATATCTTTGAAGACCTTTAACCAAAATTTCTAAGTTTCAAAGGGGCAAATAATTCTGCAAATATTGCAGGCAGAGTTATGCAATTTTGCAAACTGATGTACATTGTTACTATAAAAAAAGTATTTTAAATTTCAATTGAATATCTCAAGCAATAATTGAGATATTTGACTTCACAAAAAAACTTTAACCAAAATTTCTAAGTTCCAAAGGGGCATAATTCTGTCAATATTGTAGACAGAGTTATCCAACTTGTCAATCTGATGTACCTTGTTACTATAAATAAGTATTGTAAGTTTCAATTGAATATCTCAAGCAATAATTGAGATATTTGACTTTACAAAAAACTTTAACCAAAATTTCTAAGTTAAAAAGGGGCATAATTCTGTCAATATTGTAGGCAGAGTTATCCAACTTGTCAATCTGATGAACCTTGTTACTATAAATAAGTATTGTAAGTTTCAATTGAATATCTCAAGCAATAATTGAGATATTTGACTTCACAAAAAAACTTTAACCAAAATTTCTAAGTTCCAAAGGGGCATAATTCTGTCAATATTGTAGACAGAGTTATCCAACTTGTCAATCTGATGTACCTTGTTACTATAAATAAGTATTGTAAGTTTCAATTGAATATCTCAAGCAATAATTGAGATATTTGACTTTACAAAAAACTTTAACCAAAATTTCTAAGTTAAAAAGGGGCATAATTCTGTCAATATTGTAGGCAGAGTTATCCAACTTGTCAATCTGATGAACCTTGTTACTATAAATAAGTATTGTAAGTTTCAATTGAATATCTCAAGCAATAATTGAGATATTTGACTTTACAAAAAACTTTAACCAAAATTTTTAAGTTAAAAAGGGGCATAATTCTGTCAATATTGTAGACAGAGTTATCCAACTTGTCAATCTGATGTACCTTGTTACTATAAATAAGTATTGTAAGTTTCAATTGAATATCTCAAGCAATAATTGAGATATTTGACTTTACAAAAAACTTTAACCAAAATTTCTAAGTTAAAAAGGGGCATAATTCTGTCAATATTGTAGGCAGAGTTATCCAACTTGTCAATCTGATGTACCTTGTTACTATAAATAAGTATTGTAAGTTTCAATTGAATATCTCAAGTAATAATTGAGATATTTGACTTTACAAAAAACTTTAACCAACGCAGACGCCGACGCGGACGCTGACGCCGACGCCGACGCCGGGGCGACTACAATAGCTCTCATATTCTTCGAATAGTCGAGCTAAAAACAGGTTAATTATACGGAATACTAAACAATACACATCACGTATAGTGAGGCTTTGTTCCTGGTCTGATTTTATTCTAATCTGTTTTGGTGTAACATATTAATTTATTTTATCTTTTTTCAGATCAGTTAGATTTATTATGTTTTATAACCCGATTTATTTTTGCATTGCAATCTCTAACGATGCAGACGAAAGAAATTATCTCAATCAAGGACAGCAAATGAGCTCGAATGAGGCTAATTCTAGTATTTAACTTAATCATCTACTGGAAATGCTCCATCCAGGACTATAATTAAGGACATCAGTCACGTAGACATAATGTTGACATCAAATACTAACGAGACAAATGGCCAGACATTGCACGAATGATATTAAGTATGCATAGAAAGACAAATGACGTTACAATTAACATTAAAGCAATCGAAGATCTAAAGTATTATTAGTTTTTTATTGAAGAAAACAATTTCTTTACAATTCTAAACTTGTTGTACAGTTTCTGATAAGCGGTCAGTACACTCTGTAACATAGAATAGCTGGGGCAATTTATAAAACTTTATCGATAGTCGTTTATAATGTGTACTTTGCGTATGAAAGTGCTTGCTGAGCTAAAATTCATTTTTAAGAAACGAACATAACATAAAGTATTTCTCCACTTTTCAAGCATATAAGCTAATGGCACTGTAACATATAGAAATTACATCGGTATTATCAAGAACAACAACATGATAGACACACTCTTTCTAATTAAATTTTCGCGTGTGTTATCAATTTTCAAAGACAATATTATGTTTTGTTTGCAAGATAATCTTGATAACGTTTTTATTTTTCCTTGTTAGTTTAATCATGCAAATTTTTCAATTTGTATTCAAATTGTAATTTTTTGAGTAAATTATACTTACCTGATAAATATACTATAGAATCATTCCCGGAATGACGGAAACTCGCTGTATCCGGTTTGGTACGTTCCGTACGGAATTTATCCTAACCGGAAATTAAACCCACGTGAGTTTAGCAAAACACTTGCATTTCACTTTTAGGCGCCACAACTAGGCGTACCTAATTTTACAATACAGAGGGGAGGAGGGAGGGTTGTTATATTTATCAGGTAAGTATAATTTACTCAAAAAATTACAATTTGAATACAAATTGAAAAATTTTTTATCATAAATTAGCCACTTACCTGATAAATATACTATAGAATCTGTCTGATTCCCCAAGCAGTGTCTGAACTGGAGGTGGGTCTTCACTATGTTCCACTTTTTTTTTTATAATTATGTTTTTCAACAAAGAGTTTACAAAATTTCTAATCTGTTTAAACCCATATAAAACAGTTCTTTTAAACCCATATAAAACAGTTCTTTTTACAAATGTACATTTACTATTCTGTAATTCACTAAACTGTGATATCCAATAATTGTCCAATTCCGATGTACACATTCTGTATACATGATAAATAATGAAACTTTCATTAATGTATATACACCAACTCGCCGTTTTTTTTTTTTTTTTTTTTTTTTTTTAACATTTTAAAAAGTCCACTGAGACTTCTTTCAGATAAAACTTTATGAACGTTGAAGCACGAGACCAATCTGCACTGTTCAATACGTCCACCAACTTTGCCCCTTTAAACAAAGCCCCATGAAGGTCCAATTGACCTAGTTGAATGTCCCCGCACTTTTGGTTCTAGTAATTCTTTAGATTTATAAGCTTTCTTGATAACACTCACTATCCAATTTGAAATAGTCTGTGCAGACACAGGTTTATGTGGCTTGATTGTCGTCAAGAATAAACTCAACTCATTTGTTTCCTTACGTAAATCATCTGTGCGTTTCAAATACCAATACAAAGCTCTCTTAGGATCTAAATATTTATTGTCCTTAAACGTTGGAATGAAAATATTCTTACTTTGATGACCCTGTCTATCTTGCTTAGAAAGACCATGTCTATAAAAAGTGACACCTTTTTCCTGAATATTGACAGATCCTTCACCTATGCGCATAGCTTGAAGATCACTGCATCTTTTGAAAGTTGTGATAGCAATTAAAAATACTGTCTTCCATGTCAAATATTTCAACTTGGCTAACTTCATGGGTTCAAATGGGGGCTGTTTCAGCATCTGCAAAACAATAGGTAAATTCCATTCAGGTATCAATTTACGTTCAGGAGGTCTACTATTAAAAACTCCTTTCAACATTCTTATGACATGAGGATGTTTTCCAATAGGAAATTTGTCAATTGTTGGCAAGACTGCAGATAACATTGACCTATAGCCTGAAATTGTTGTGTATTTCAAACCATTATCAAATAAATCAGCTAAAAAATTTGCACAGTCCGTCAAAGATGCCTTATAGGGATCAATTTGTTTTGTATTGCACCAGCTACTGAATTTTTTAAATTTACAGGTGTAATCTTTTCGTGTACCATGCCTCCATGATGCCGTGAGCAATTTTCTAGTGCTGCTTGAAAAACCTTTCTCTTTGAATTGTTTGTTGATAGTCTCCATGCAGTTAGATTCAGAAACTGTGGATTTGTATGATTCACTCTGTTCTGACAAAGTAAATCTACTTGATTTGGTAACTGAATCGGACATGCAATCAACATACTCAACAACGTCGGGTACCAATGCTGCCGTGGCCACATTGGTGCTATCAGAATCATTTCGCACTGAAAATTGTTCATATGACTCAGAACTTTTGGTATCATGCAAAATGGAGGATACGCATACACAAACATGTTCTCCCAACTGATTGATAGAGCATCTTGAGCAAACGCTTTCGGATGATTTTTCCATGAGCAAAATACCAGACATTGACGATTCTGTACTGTGGCAAACAAGTCTATCATTGGTTGACCCCATACCTGAAAAATCTTTCGAACTATCAATGGATTCAGGGACAATTCGGATGATTGAATTGCTCTCCTGCTTAGAGAGTCTGCTAGATAGTTCAACTCCCCCTTCAAATGAGCTGCTCTGAGAATTATTTGACTTTGAATAGCTAATAACCAAATTTTTCTTGTTAAATTGCATAATTTTTCCGACTTCGTCCCCCCTTGCTTGTTCAGATAATGAATTACTGCCATATTGTCTGATCTGATCAAAATTTGTTTGCTTTTCAATTCTGAGAGAAAATGTTTTAAAGCAAGGTATACTGCTTCCAACTCTACGAAGTTTATGTGCTCTAAGCTCATCGTCTTCGACCAAGTTCCCTGTACTACCTGATTGCCTAAATGAGCACCCCACCCCGTCATCGACGAGTCTGTGGTTAGTTCCATGTCGGATTTGAATGTCTGCAAGACCCTGCCCATTAGAAAATTTTTCTGAAGTAACCACCATTTCAGATGGTATTTTAGCTGTGGAGTACAAGGGACTTGGACATCCAAAGCCATAGATACAGGTCTCCAGTGTTTTAATACATGTAATTGGATAGGTCTTGAGAATAGACGAGCATTTGGAACTAGTTCTATCACTGACGCTAATATCCCTAGTATAACTAAGTATTGCCTGGCTGTATTTTGACCCCGAAACAGAGTTTGTATTGCCAAATGTAATTTTTGAAACCTTTCTAGAGTTGGAAACACCATACCCTTTATAAGATTGAAAAACGCCCCTATATATGTTATTTCCTGAGTTGGAATTAAGTGTGACTTTGTTACATTCACTATGAACCCAAGTTCTACTAGGAGACTGAGCGTGAATTCTCGATCTTTTAATATTGCTGCTAATTTTTGATTCAGAAACAACCAATCGTCCAGATATACTGCTAGACGAATGGCTTTTGATCTCAGATATTCTGCTATTACCGCTATTACTTTTGTAAATACCCTGGGGGACACAGTTGGGCCAAAACATAGAGCTTTGAACTGGTAAACTTGACCTTTTATGCAAAATCTGAGAAATTTTCGATGTTTCTTGAATATCGGAATGTGAAAGTAAGCATCTTTCAGATCTAGAGTGAATGCCCAGTCTCCTTTTTGAACAAGATTTAGCACTTTTGACAGAGTGTCCATTTTGAAATGTTGCTTCTTGAGATATCTGTTCAGGGGTTTTAGATTGATTACAGGACGCAAATCTCCTGTCTTTTTTGTTACTAAAAATAGCGTACTGTAAAAACCTTTTTTCCAAAAACTCTTTGGAACAGTTTCGATTGCATTTTTCTTTAATAATGAAGAAACTTCTTTTTCTAAAATTTCCATTTGTTTTGAATTTACAAAAGTTTCTTTTATTCCTAAAAAGGGTGGAATTTGATCGAATTCGAGTTTGTAACCGTTCTCGATCACAGATAAAACCCATTTGTCTTTTGTTATTTCTTTCCATTTGTCTAGGAAATGAGTTAATCTCCCCCCTACAGGTATCTCTGGACGCAACATTAACACACTTACCGAGTCATTGTTTTCCGGATTTAGTGTGAACACCTCTTCCTCTGCCTGCTGACTTGTAAGGCTGTTTAGACGTGTATGATTTAGTCTCGAATGATCTAGAGCCACTTCCTTCTGGTTTGTTTCGATCATTAATCTTTGGGATACGAAAATTATCCCTGGATTTTTGTCCATTATATCCAGATGCAGGTTTATCACACATCATTTTAGCAGGAGTAGTGGAGGAATCACCCTCTGATGAAGCACTTTTACGTTTTAAAAATTTCCTTGATTTTGATTCTGGAAGAAGTTCATCTAAAGTTTTCTTGACTTCTTTCCTTTCTTTCAAAATATCATCAAGGCCATGACCTAAAACTCCTTCACCTGTTAATGGCATACTGGAAATGTCAGTAGAAGAATCAAGCTTAAACAAACCGGTGTCGTGCATTGTCACTTGTCTACGTATAATATGAAAAAATGCCCCAACACGTCCTAATTGATCCAAACTTTTGGTACAAAGAGAAAAAATATCTCTTACTTTCTTTTCAATTTGACTGATATCTTCAGTTTCTAACATGTTGAGTAACATTCCCAATGCTTGCTGCATATACAAGTTCATCATAATACCCATATTGGCTGCGTGATGACCACGAAATGCTGTCTTCTCCACCATTTTGTCTGGTTGAGAAAATAAAGCACGACCCCTCTTAGCAAAAGATCCACATCTTGAACCATGCTGACGTTTTAAACATTCATCAACAATATCATCTAAGGGAGGAACTTTCAAAAAATCCTCAGTTTCAGGTAATGAAGGAAACATACCTTTGTACTCTTCAGAATATGCTGTCACATCATTTGGCTTTTTGGCACGATAACTTTGTGACAAAATTTCCTTCTGAGAATCTTCAATTTCAATGCCCAGTTTTTCTTCTGGTTTTTTTAACAAAGCATCATCTTGAAAAATTTCATGCAAACAATGGCGTGTCTTTTCAGATAAATTAGTTCGTTTATAGGAAACACTATTGTCAAATTCATTTTCCGAATTTTCTACGTCGGAAAATTGTTGTTCTTCTTCTCTAGGACAAATAGACAATTCATCATCATTTCTGTCATTTTGTGAGCCATTTGCACTGCTCTTATTTGAAACATGACTTTGTGTCAATTTTTCATTTAAAAGATTGAACATACGATCGAATTTTTCTGTTAATTCATTGTAGTTCTTGCTTACGACTTTTTCCAAGTCACCAATACGTGACCGTCGTTGCTTCGTGTTTTTCGTTTGAATTTGAGAAGCGGATGTTTCTGCACCCGATAATTCTCCATCTTCTAGCTCCGAAGGGTGAACAGCACCCTTAACCATTTGTTCCGTCATAATTATAAATGTAAACTATAAAAAGCGAGCATAAACAATCCGTCCGCCTAGTGTGGCGCCGAGAAAAAAAGTGAAATGCAAGTGTTTTGCTAAACTCACGTGGGTTTAATTTCCGGTTAGGATAAATTCCGTACGGAACGTACCAAACCGGATACAGCGAGTTTCCGTCATTCCGGGAATGATTCTATAGTATATTTATCAGGTAAGTGGCTAATTTATGATAAAAAATTCCCAAACGTTTTTGTTTGAGTTCATCTTGATAATGCTTTTTTTTATTTTACCTTCATAATTCAACCAAGCAATTTCACAGGCCTTTTCTCTGAAAGTTTTATGTAAATTTGTCATTCGTGCGCTTTGAGAACTTCTGTATGTGGGAAGACATGTGTAATCTCACAAAAAAAATATGTTTCTGTTTTTTTATTACCCTTTTTCCGATTGTTTTAAATCATTTATTCTCGTACATAATAGGAATTCATTTGTTATGTTGTTTCAAAAGAAAAAAATGGACGTAACTAAGGACTTAATAACTTCCGATCATTACATAATTTTTAACGCTTAAAAGATTTTTCTTGCCATATCCGTTATATTGCTAAAAGTACAGCGTTTTTGCATTTAATAGCGGTACTTTGCTTAATTACTATTTTATTCAAGATTTTTAAAAAATTGTTCAACCATTTTATAACAACCTGAAAATACTTCAAAGAGCTATAATTACCTATTTTATTAAAATTAGTTGCAATTAAAGTCATTTGCCTATGAAAATGTTTTGAAAAGCCATGATGTGAATGCACGACAATTTTACAAAAAGGCAAAAAAAACATTAAGTTATAAATACCATTTAGCACCATAATTTTAACATAACATTTCCGTCAAAGAATTTTCTGAGTGTCAAAAACCCTTTTCATCTTTTCCATAATTTTTTTTACTTCTCCAAAGAAACATCTACATAACTAATTTCCAAAATGCATGCAAGTTATAGAAAATGTATATGTCTTTGCAACGGGCGAAAATCAAATAAGGTGAACACTCTCCATGTATCAGATGGTGGTCAAGTGTATTTTAGTAGTTTAACTTCAAAGTGATTTCATTTGCACACAGTTAAATTACGGTTTTGCTCTTAAAATAGTCAGGCTAAATGTCGACCCACATTTATGAGAGATAGTAGACTTGTTGCATTCATTTCCAGTCTTCAACTAAATTATCTCTGAAAATGTATGCTGCACCCAAGGAGATTAGACAGGTGTGGCACATAACATTTTTGACTGTCAATCATGAGCTGACAGTGCGAATGATTAGACATATGACTTTTTACAGACACTGCCAAATGTTTAAATGAGGTTTGAAGTTGACATTAAAAAGTTAATGCAGCTATGTTGTGGTTATACAAAGGAAACCAGAATTATAGAACTTAAAATGTAAAATTCGAAAAGAGCATTTTGAGCATGCTTAGTTCTTAAATATTGTTTAACTCTAATATTAAAAACCACTTATCAACGGATGCAACGGTTTTATTGTATTGTCACCGTTTCAGAGCGGTTAAAGACAAAAACGATTATTCAATAGATTAATCATGAGATAGTCGGTTACTATGTGCACTCTGAGTAGGAAAATAGGAAAAGTTCTTCCTGACAGATGAGATCTCATAACCTCTGTCAGCAACCGACACATACATTATCTCTACAATTTAATTCTACAGAAAATTAGCATATTTCGCTTTACTTTGGGGGATTTTATACAAATAATATAATTTTTATTGTATTTAAAGCAAAACCGATGACACACTTTTTATCTTTTGTTATTACATAATTATAATATTTGCATTCTAAACATATTTCTGTTTTGTCAAACCTTCATGTTCGTGCTTACAATAGTCACAAGATTTATGATCTTGTCGGATCATGTCGGATGAATGTAATTTTAAACAGTAATTTTCCCTAACACTTTGTGCAAGAAGTCAGCCTTTCTGTTGCATATAAGGCATTGTTAGCTAGATGTTTGAAGTTGTATATACTCATACTTTTTTGTTTACTTATACTTCTCTTAAATTTAGTTAATCAAAAGCGGTCTATAAAGACTTTTGTCTGTTATACATATGTAATGGAAAAAATAATAAATTATCTGCATCAACACGTAATTTTGTAGTATTCACAGTCGTTTTTTGTGTATTATTTTGATCTATAAAAGGTTTAACCGTTTTTATTTTTTCCTTATCATAATGCAAATATAAACAAAGCTATTTCAAACATTTTATGGCGTAAATTGTTAAATTAATTTTTTTAAATTATACCTTTGTGGTAAATGATTTTCTTTATGAGAATTCTTTTCTAGGAACAGCTTTCATCTTCATTTTTAAATAGGTACAATTGAGGTATTTTGCATAAAAAAGTTTTAAAAAATCCTAAATGAGAACAAATAACTGCTTGACCTAGTTAATTGTCCAAGGCAATGTTACATAATTATTTTTTTTTTCGAATAGAATCATTTTAGCACTTATTATAATTACAATTCAAAAATTACTATATAATAATTAACATCGTTTCCATGAATCACATATTCTTTCATAACGTTTGAAAATTTTCACAAATACCTCAATGTCTTTATTTAAAATCATAGCTTAATTATTTTTACATTTTAGCAATAAGTACAGCTTCTATTTTTTATGATTACTTGGAAATTACTTTCAAATTTTCTTAAATCTTTTAATTGAGCTAGACACTCTTTGAAGCATTTCCTGTCATTTTCTTAAAACAATTTAACAGCATATTATCAAGTTACACTGCTCTGAATATTTATGGTTTCAGTCTACTAACCAGACTATACTTACCTATAATTTTCATAGAAAATCAAGTAACAAAATAACAGTCTTCCAGACGCAAAAGTGTAAAGGAAATCATGTCAAAACGATGCTGTTGCAAGTCGGTCATGCATACGGAATATATGTGTCATTTGCATTATCTTATCGGTCAGTCAGACTCATCATTTATTTTTCTCCATGATGCATATAATGGTCAGTCTCATTGGCCTCCCGTGTATCACAATTGTATGATCACAAAAATCGACTTATTTTACTTGGGGACCATACGTCGCTTCTCATGGAATGACACTACTGTGTCATATTGAAGGTTCCATGATAATGTCATATTCAGGATTTTAGATCTATATTAAAAAAACAAATTGACGGAAATAAGCTTCCATTACTGATTTCCGTTCTTGTTTGGAATATCATTTGACACTATAATTATAATGACAGTCGTGTACTTAAATGGATAGATACGATAATGTCAATAAACAAAGCAATCAACAATTTTATAAAAGCATCTTCATGTCACTAAAGAACATTTTATATTTCATTATCAACAAAATCTGGGAATATCATTTGTACGGAAGAGTATTTTTTACACAGCATGTGTAAGAATACAAAATTAAATCAGAGAGTAAACAGAAAAAAAGGTTAGAAGTATTTAATATTGTATCAAATGAATAATAAAGAAGAAAAAATAAAGTACATAAATTAAAAACACAAGGGTATTGCTCTACTTTGAGATCAAATCATAGTGTGAAGAAAATTACAAAATAGCAATTATATTTGACTTGTGTAACCATGCCAACGTTATTTTTAATGTCGTTGATAATTGAATTACTAATTACATTCCATTTTAGCTTAAAGGAATGTTCGTGGTTCAATTGTTGGTCAGATCACAGAAATTGTTTAGTTCGGTTAAATGTGGTCTGTTTAATTGCATATTGCAAAAAACAAATATTTAAAAATGCAAAACATGGATTCTTTTCATAAAGAACCTAAAGTAATAATTTAAGTTATTTTGTGATGATGAACGAAGTGAAACTTGTAAGACCTACAAGTAAATAAATATGTAACGGATGTTCACATTGACATTTACGTAAAATAGATTATGTTCGTAGTTTAATGCTGAAAATATCATTGGATAAAAATTATGGTAAAAGTAATGTACGTTGTTTCAAACACAATACAAGTTATGGTTCTTAAATAACCGTTTACTGTTTTAATGTTCATTCCCTCCAGAACAAAAAAAAAACAAGCATTATTGAAGAGGATTGCTTTTTCCACACCATGTACATCAAAGAGACTTATTAATAATGTCTTTCGCATCATTTTGCCTTAAGCGAAGACAAGCTTAATCGTTAAAAGAATTCCCTAGACTCATTGTTTACAAATTTATTGCGTTTTAATGGGATTCACACTTCATGCCGATGAAAAAGAAATCAATATTTAAATTTGTTAAACAGTGCTTTTGCTTCAGTTTTATATTGTTCTTTTCTTTTGTTCAATTATACATATAGAACCTCAAAACGGGGTCAAGTGTTTCTATATTACATCGAGATAACTAAATAAGGCAAATAAGGTTAGATTATCACGCGAATTGTATAAAAAAAGAAATAAAAGAACTAGCTTGAAAAATATTATAAAATGATATTGCTCAAACGTAAATTCAAATTTTGTTGTTTATTACTGTTTAAGAATACTTGAGAAGTTCGAACCCTACATAAAACCTTGGATTCTGTCATGTGCTAACTTACGGAACGTCGGGGATTCTGCTCAGGTGCCCACATGTGCCTGAGATTAATCATAAAGGGCACCTGATATCTTCCATATTACCCCCCCCCCACCCAATCCCATAGTGATGGTTTTGAGAAAAAACATAGCGAATGTAAATCATCCGATAAATGCTAAGCAACCGCACGAATGTCGTGCTAAATCGTATTGTTCTTTTTATAAAATTATATAAGAGCACATCTAGCCCTAGCAAGACAATACAACGAAATTTAATTCAGTTAACCTTTATTTATACCTTACAGGGCTAGTTCCTTGGCGCTTTTCCCCGCAATGTCATTCAGTTTCTAGAATGCTGAAATAAACGCCATAGTTATCGATTGGTGTATATAAATGCAGGCTAAATAAGGCGAAAAATTAAAAGATACTTTAAGAAAGATTTAATTTTAAGACAGTATTGTACTTACTTATGTTATTCATAAAAATGAGTTTAGAAAAACAAGATAACTTTTTAAACAAAATCTCTAGTATATCAGTCTAGAATTTTACTAAATAAGATTTAACAACAGCAGGAAATCTGAAATCTAATAAAAACCAATGTTATATACCCTCAAATCAGGAAAAGGGAGAACCCTCGTGATGAATGAAAACAAATAAATTAAAATTGTTTGCCTTGATTTATATTTTAATACCA